ATATTTTGAGTTTTTATGTATTTTTGCCTTGTCGCGAAGTGAAAACTGAATTAATTGAATGAGAAATACTCAATCGTATGTGAAAGACTGTTTCTTTTTCGTTTTGTTTGTTTAATTTCTTTTATACATCGTTCTAGCTTTGTTATAGTATTTGAATAGAACATGTGGCAACGATTAGATAATTCTTTAAATGATATAAATTTTGTGCATTCTGAGTTATAATAGGAATGAAATATAATACTGTTAAGTAAACCTAGCGCCACAGTGTCGCTATGGTAAACAAAGTGAATTTTAAAGAATGCATTTATTCTATTGTGGTTTATGCGCTGTCGGCAAAGTAAGTTTAATTCAATCTAATAAGTTAAATGAAATGCAAGAAAAAATGCGTATAATTTAATATTCCGTACAAGGAAGTCATGTGGTTTACACATCAGATTTTTTTACATTTAATAAATAAAATAAAAATTTTCATGACAAAAATAAATAAATAAAACGTTGACTTAACCGGACATTTATATATTCTCAATAAATAACTGAGGAAGAAATAAACTTACCATTGGCATGAATAACAGATCAGAAAATCTACAAATGGTGCTAATTTACCAGTATGATACAAACCTTATTTAAGTATTTGAAGATATAGATTTGATTAACTTTTATTTGTACTTTTGTCATTTATCAAAACATAAATACTCTCAAGTATTAAGTTTTGCAATAAGAATAATTGATTTCCTTGGATGTAAATTTATATGTGGAGGCTTTTTCACAGTTGAAATTCAAAATGTCTTAGACAAGAATCTGACTGACTGATGAAGATAGTTTCTAATTATTTTTTTTTTAAAATCAAACTTTATCAAAACTGAAATACCATCAACTGTTCAAATTACATTGTAAGATATAAAGAAGTTTATAATTGTTTACATACAAATATATGCAATTTTTAGTTCATGGAAATATGCTTTTTTAGTTTTAAGTTATTTAGTTGTTAATTCAAAATATAAGAATTATTTGAAATCAATGTCAGCTTGAAAATTTAACATTTAGCTATTATTGCAAGCACCAAAATTTCAGATAGAAAATAAATCTGAATTTTTCCTTTGCATTGTTGTTATTATTTTATTATGTTTTGATAAATATATGTCAGAAATCTAAAGAAAAAAGACAAAAGAATTTAACTGAAAGAAAGACTAACTTTAGCCAGACAGAGAAGGAAGGAACTATAAATTTGAGAAATAGAAAGTAAATGTGAAAAAAAATACTGTAGCAAATACAACTGAATATTACTGAAACATATTTTCAAATACATTATGAACTTGCATGCAATACCTGTGTGGAGCGTGTTATATATATATAACATCAGGTCATAAAGGGATGATATCCCTTTCTTAGGCTTATATAGAGTGCAAAATATATACATACACAACTATATATAAATTCTCTATCATCATGTTTAAAAAAATGCAGACCATCAGCTGCTTTCAGATCATGCACTTGGCCCATGAGCAATTTGAAACCACTATACTTAAGCATTTAAATATAATATTATTATATAAAATAATGATGAAAGAATTTTGTAACATATATTAAAAAAAGGAAAGAAGTACTTATTAGTGTAATTAAAATAAAATGTAATACATTAAATATATTATTTATTAATATAAATACTATTCCACAATATACACTTGAAGAAAATAACATCTTGCTGAAACTCTCTCTTCATCCATGAAGTACTTTAAAATTATTCATTAATATTCACTACTTCAGAATTGTAATTCCTAAAAAATACAAATGTATTACATTTCATACAGAATGAAAATAAAAAGAAATAAAGTTTTGCAAATTTAAATAAACTACGTCATATGTATCTCAAATAAATAAAAATTATGTTCTTTATATTTCTTTTGTAGCTACATAGAAATAAACTGTTCTTAAATTGCAGTCATTTTGTATTTAAATTTTTCAGTTACCTTCTTATTCAAATATCTCCTTATTTAGTTGATTCCATATCCAAGTATTAAACAGTCTTAATGTTAATCACAATACAGCAGGGAGAAATTTGTATCAATCTGTTAGATATACTAGAAGTGTTTCCCTCTGCTCATTAACATTAATTCCTGGAAATATGCTTTGTGTGTTTCTGCTGACAACTGATTCCTTTCAATGAGATTTTTTTCCAATAAAGAAAATGCTACCATAGCAGTTGGAGAGTTGAAAAAGCAAATATTTTTCCTTAAATGTTTCTCATTATTACCCTGAAACTTATTTTTACTTCCTTGTATGAACTGATGGAAGTATAGTTGTCATGAAAAATTTTGGAATATCATATTTGAACAGAAATATCCATTTTGACTGTTCCCGAATCTATTTGGATGATTTTTTTTGTGTGATGTCTGTATGTGCACAGAATAAAGGTTTGTTTTTTTCCAAAACAGATTGTCAAATGGATTTAAAGTGGATTCAAAAGGGATTTTTCATGATGTCTACATGCATGCATGTATCTTGCATAACTCAAAAACGATTAGCCATACAATATTGAAATTTTATATATGGAACTGCTTCACATCTAGCTGTGCACCTCCTTTTTTCACTGCAATTGGCAGTAACAAATGTATATATATACATATATATACATAAATTTACAATCAATGTTTCAGGAAGACCGAAAAATAATATATATACAACAACCTACTTACCTGACCATTATTTTCACAATTGGTGATCGTAGTCACATACTTCCAATCAAGGAAGTGTTTTAAATGGTGAAATTGCTCATGTTTTGGTAATGTCGAATTTAAAAAAAAAAAAAAAAAAAAAATATTTAAGACAGATAAAATCTAATTCCTAATGCTGTCTCCTATTTCCTATACTTACTTTTGAGAAAGTTTTGTACTTGTTATGAAAAAATAAAACTGAAAGAAGTTTGACGATCATATGACAAAAATTGACTGGGATATTTAATTTCAAAATTTGCAATTTTTTATGTCATTTTCAACCTGCCTTGAGATCTCTCATTAATGGTTAATTAAGTTAGAATAATTTAAGGAAAAAAGTTTAAATGAAGAGCAGCAACAAGCATGTATAATTTAATAGGCCGCAGAAGAAAGTCATATGGTGTCCACACCAGATTTTTAAATATGAAAAGTGAAATTAACAATAACTAACACTGGAGTAATGTCAATTTTCTTATTTGTCATGTACTGACAATCACTAAATTCATAAGCACAGTTTACAGCTTGTGAGACTGGCCATATTTATCATTTGATCAACAGACGATTTAGAGCTCATTTATAGTATATTATCTATGACAGTTTCTTCTTCCCTCTGGTATCATTCGTTATAGATTGAAAGTATTTCATAAGTTGAAAATGACTACAAAAGACAACTTAGTTTGCAGATTTTGAATAGCAAAATCATATAATAAACAATTTAAACACAGAAAGCTTTGATTTAAGAGATGAAGCTGAGAGCAAAACATTTTTTAAATGTCATATGAAGAGATTTTACTAAACTCATGAAGTTATAATTTATAGATTTTTGTTTTGTTTGTAGAAACTATTAATCCTTTTGAGAAAAATAAGAACATGCATTTAATAATAGAAGTGATTATGTGTACATAAGAACAGAAATTAGCATCTTTATTTGCAGAAGCACAGGACTATTCAGGAAAGCTTCTGAGAGAGAATAAAAATACCTCCCTTGTAACAAATGAATTTTGGACAAATAAAAGAAGTGAAAAATTCACCAACACAAACCATTTCTTAGAAAAAATTTTCGACTTTGAAATTTTAATGTTTCTAAGAAAAGCACATATCTATAAGAATTTACTCATCTAAAAATATATACAGAGTATTTTTTAAAATTATTTAACCATCACAGATTAAAAAAATTTTAAAATATAAAACAAATGATATAATTTTACAATTTTCCAACATTTCAACATGCTCAATTCCCCAAATGATGGATTCGGAAAGAAAATGTAAAATAATAAATGAATGTAGAATCTCAATTTGAATTGAACTATTCATTTATGAATTTCATTGATTGTTGAAAAGGTTCATGCATAAAGATGTGTGTTTTAACTTTATGGGAACTAATATAAAAACTTTAGTAACAATAAAGCAAACTCAGTCTTGAAAAATGTAATAAAAATATATTAAGTCCTCAAAAATCATTTTATTCTAGAAAGATGCCTTATACTGCAATTCATGTTTGCACTGTGTGATCATGGTAGTATAAAGATAAAGCAATCATTTCATGAGGCAGTCAGCATGTTAATTATGGATCAAATGCATAACACAGATGAGTGGCAGTGCAAAAAAGATCAAATCAGTAATATATATATATTATATTACTACAGCTGTATTTATTGTATTGAATCATAACAATTTAACAAAAAGCTTTTTCACAAACATATATAAAAATTTAATAATTTTGTTTCAAAATACAGATAGCAAATTTGAAGAAATGATGAGAAAACAATTTCAATACAGTAGTAGTAAACTTCTCTCAAGTGAAGCAAAACTGAGAAATACATATGATTTTAATAACACTGTTCAATTAATGCTAATACACAATTAAAAAATATAAATACATTTCACAATGCAGTGTTGTTTTGTAGCTTTCTAAAATTTCAAAATGTTGCTTAATCTTGTAAAAAGGTTTGTGATAAAAAAGATTACATTTATTAATTTTTTGCTGATAATCTGTAGAATTTCAATGGATAATTAACTGACATTATTTTGAAATGCAGAGAATCAGCTTTAATCCCTCCAAATGATATCAACCTATTGACTTTTGTCTTTGAGATGGTAGTTTTTGCATTTGGGATTGGTGATTTTTGGCAAGTTATAAATGTAAATGTATGACTGGTAACTATACACAAATTCTAAATATATGACTGTTTATAATTAATTGATTATACAAGTACAAAACATTCTACAAAATAAGACATATAACTTTTAAAATTGTAAATAAAAATAAAACTTTTATAATCTTTTCAGGTATAAAGCATTACATGTGCCAGATCTGCAACTATAATGGAGTGACACAGTCGGACTTGAATAGGCACTTAAAGACAAGAACCCACCTCTTGCGATCTCGCAACGTATGTGCATGTTGCGGAACAGGTTTTCATACACGAAGCCTTTCAGACGAACACTACAAGAGTTGCCATATGTCAGCAAATTCAAATAATCAGGAGCAGAACTCAAAGCATCAGCAAGAAACTACAAACAGGTCACCTATGTCCAACAACAGAAACCGTGTGACTCGTCTGAAGCAGTTTCGGACACCCGAGGAAAAAATCAAAAACGAATTCTACCAGAAGCTATGCGATCTCAATAATATGGGATTGACACTGGGAGACTTTCTGCAGCAGAATTCCACACCAGTGAATCTCGAAAAATGAAACACGCACACACATTCCATCACAGCTTGAGGAGACCAAATTTATGGAGTGCTTGAAAAGATTCACAAATGATTTTTTATGAAAAGATTAAATTTTTTTTTTTACTATTTGCAAATCTAGTTTTAATTATGCAGTACATTGCTTTTCATCAGTCAAACATTAGATTCACTGAATGATAAAGTACATAAGTTCCTTAAGATGAAGTGATAATCCTTTGTAGTCATTTACAAGATAAGCTAATAAATACTGAACACTTTATCTGATGGCAGCAATCAATGGCCGTCCAGTGAAAATACGTAATGATAATTAGATATCAGCTGTTTGTTGTTGTCATATAGTGTTTTACTCTTTGTAACAATTAGCTAAAAAATCATTCCAGGAACCTCTCAAGCACCTTAAATATTTCATAAAATATTATGATGAAAGTGTTCATTCTTACAGCAAAGTGAGAAAACTGAGTGTGCAGCAAGCTATTATTGGCAGTTCAATCTGCAGCACAAATACTCAGGGGAATTTCTGAAAATTATACTTCATAAAAATACAAAGTATAAATATATATTAGTCTTGGAATAAGATAAAAGGCAGAAATTGGTTTTAAAAAATTGTGAGTGATATCGCAGATTTGTAAATGCTAAAATTAGTGAAAATATTATTTTAGAACTGCTTTTCAATTGCAATAGAAAGAATAATTTTAATTTCTTATAAGAAATAGCAGGTAATATTCTTTGAAATCTATGGAAGCACCAAGAAAAGAATCTTGTATATTATTTTATGAAATATGTCAAAGGAATAAAATAACTCCTTACAGCTAGCATTATTTTTATATTTTACATGAAGAACTTAACATCTTCATTAAAAGATCCTATGTAATATTATTTTTGTATTTTGTCAATTTTTGCTCATGAAATCTACATGAACTGAAGTATATTTGTTTCATACAGGTAATTCAGAGAAATCAAATTATGAATGATCTGTCCCTCTTATTATAATGAAATTTTTTATCTGATTTTCAAAATATCTTTGGGATGTTAATAATGAAAACATAATTTGACAAAAAAATTTTAATATATATAATAAAAATACTTAAATATCTAAATATTTGTAATTAATACTTAAATATTTGTTTTACTGGTAGTATATAACATTTTCATTATAATATACTATAAAAAGAAAATGATTAAACATGTACTGATATGGTACTTTAAGTTTTTATTTTTTCAAATTTCTTTTCAATAGAAGTATAGCTACGAAGCAAGACGCACTATAATCTCAGATTAAAGGAATTACTACATTATTTCTAATAGTACTTTTAACTTGAAATATATTAATATTGCTATACTAAATTAATAAATTATGTTTAAAACAAAATTTTCAACGAGAAAATATTTACATTCAAAATTAGTAGTTATAACTAAACTATGTTAAATTTTATATGATAAGGGAATATTTTTGCACATTTTAAATCAAATGTATAAAAAAGATGCAAGATAATGAGTAGAATTTTATCACACAAGCCATTAAAGACGAAATCAGTTGCTGTAGATTACTTGTTTTAACTTTAAACCTTTTTGACTGAGTTTTATTTTGTCTAACTCTGTACTTTCATAATTTTATATTATGTATATCAGTATACCTAAAACCATATTTTGGTTCCATATATTGTGCCAAAATAAATAAATAAGTAAACTTCATATTTCAATTTCAATTAATGTTCCTATTTAAAAGGCAAGAAACGTTCATGTTCTTAATTTAATCACTGCAAAACGTTTCAATAAATAATTTAAATAAAAATTAACATACTGTCAAGAAAATAATTAAAATTAAACAAATATGTATTAGAAAACACAATCTGATTCAGAACTAAATCAAATATACAGATTAAAATATATTAGCTTTGATGTATATAAATAATTGTTGTTTCTTTAAAGAAAATTTAATAGTTTATAAGAATTTTGTGATAGAATAGAAGTATTTTGTGAGAATATCTTTAATTAATTAAAAAATGTATTATGATTTTATGAGACCTAATTAAATTAATCTGGGAGTGTTAAAAATAAAAACAATTAATATCCAGGTTTTTCAAAATATGAAAGGCAATTTCATTAAAAATCTTAACAGGAGTTTAAAACAGAATGCTACAAGCTTTTTTTTTCAGTTTTAGTAGAGGCTTGTATATTAGGCAACATGCATTTTTGGCCAAACATAAGGAACCTACTAATCAACCTTTCTTCCACTAATTACATACTGAAGGATGATAAAAATATAAAATATTTAAATTATATTTTTATCACTCTACGTATGTAGCACTCATCATGTGCTAATTCTATTGGGTTAACAAATAAATTTTCAAGTACTTTTAAATTAATGCAATGCATTATCTAAAAAAATAATTGCATCTTTAATCATCAAACATTCATTGTCATTATCCTTGGCCTTCTGCTATGGTCGAGTAGCTGACATATTCCAGCAATCGCTGTTTTGTCATGCAATGAGATTAAGTATTAACCCATTTTTGCACTTCATTTAATGTCCCGAAACATGTAGCAGCCATTTGCATCAAAAACAAGGGCTATATGTAAGATCATCCAAAACTGCCCAGCTAAGTATCAGAGATAGTTCCTTAACTGCTTTTGTTACATATGGCCTAGTATTATAATTGAGGACTTTTTCAAAAGAGTTTGAGCCATTTATTGCAAGTTCTAAATGATTACCAGTCATTTATATAGAATCATTTGCCAGTAAATGAAAATTTTTAATTGATTTCTTATTTTACTTGCAATAATTGTAGCTTTTGACAACCAGAATTAACAACTTTATAACCATTTGTATTTAATGACTGGACCCAATTCCAATAGTTCATAACAAGACAAATCCTTCATATCCCACGAAACAGATTTTCTGGAAATGAATATTGCATTTCTGCATCAATGCTGTTTCATTATCTATCATGATCTATCGTTAGAACAAGTATTTTCTGCATTTGGGATCATCGTAAAATATCTATTTTTTATCATCTGACATAGTCTTCCTCATGGAAGATTTTCAGTTGTATTTATTGAACATATTCAAACTCTCCACAGTATGATCATCCTTGTTCTACTCAGTTCATGTAGCATCTATTTTCTTTCTGTTGAATATGATTTTATGGTGTATAAATATTTGGATACATTTTGTCAAGTGACTGTGAGATGTTCAGCAAGTTCTTTTTGAAATCAATCTTCATCCAGTAATGCTTCCAATTCCTTATCTATAACAGCCTCCAAAATTCCACTGTATTTTTATTGCCAGCATCGAAATCATCATCTTTCAACTTTGAAACTAAAATTCACACATGCTAATCAATTTAATAGAGTCTCCAAGAACGAAATAGACTGAGGTACATGTTTTTGAAGAATTTTTCCCTTCATGAAGATTGCAGCATATACAGTGATGAATAAATCCTTTGCTGTTTGCCATCAACCATTTACTGGCATTAAGTGCGAATTTCTTTACTCTGAATTGGTTACTAACACATATAGGGGAATAATTGATTTTATCAGTATTCCTCAAACAAAAAAGTTTTCAAACTTATTATACACCCGATATATTTAAATATCAAGAATTGTAAAAGTATACGCAAGTATATGCTTCTGTTATATATTTTGTCAACATTTTTACAAACTGCAACTGCTCAGTATATTAAATGGCATTATTAAACTGATTTTCAAACTTTTTTGTCTCTACAATTACTTAAAGTAAAATGTTAAACGTATATCAAATTTCCGAATTCATTAAATTAATTTATTTCTTTTTATTTTTACTTTCTTTAAATACATTAACATCCTTAAGAACAAGAAAATTTAGTAAAACTCAAAGATCTAAGTAATATCTATTTTCCCGGCATAAACTGTTGATGAAAAATAAATATTATGACAAAAGTGAGGAAAATTCACAATCAAACTGTGAACTATTTCTAAATATTTAAGAATTTAAGTTTTAAAAAAGGTATTTATTCCATTTCTAGCCTGAAGATTCATTTTTAAAGTTATTATTACTTTAAGCCAGCTCAGAAACAGTGTTCAATCAAAATAGTAATAACAATATCCCAGAATATTTTAATAAAGGTCTCATGATAAATATTTAACTAATAAAAATAAAATTCAATATTAAAGTGGATTTGTTGATATTAAGATTATTCTTTCTTAAGTAATGACTAAATCCTAATAAAAAATCTTATGTATATCTGCATGAATTAACTACTTACTGTATACAAATCATTGTTTCATAATGTGAAAAAAAAATAGGCTAGTCAGATGTAACCTCAAGAAGTACAGTTCCTTTCTTATTATATGTAGAAAATATGTTTCTTTCTTGTGAGGAATTCATCTCAATTTTAACAATACATAAATGTGGATCCATTAGTTAGATTATATCTTAAATGTATGCCTATACATGTCTGTCAATGTGTCATGACAAATTCGCTGGTATTAATAATCTCTGAATTTTTTTTAATGTTATAGAAGCCAGTTCTAAGAGCTAGCTACCATGTTATTCAATATACATGCTATTTGAATGTAAAAATACTGCATGAGTGATAATTTTGGAGCTCTGTATGTCTGATGCCAAGTGTATATCGCTATCACCATGTGCAAAATGCATTCAAATGTTTTATATTTTTCTTTCATACATATATTTCAGATGAGTATGAAACAAAATTTTTCTGAATCAAAGTTTCATAGAAATATACGATGAAAGAATGCAGCCATGAAGTTTATGGCTGCATAAAAGGCTAAATACCTAAAACATATTGGTGCTTTATCCTTATAATATTATTCAATATCAATGTAATAGTGCAAGTAACACTGCACAATCGTCCAGACAATACTTTGTTTGCTTGAAAGCTAACTTAGAGCTTTTCAGTGTAAGAACTAGTATCATAGTTATGCTGGTATCAACTTTATGCTCAAATTTTAATTTTTTTTGGTTGTTATGTTGTTTTACAAGTTGTTACATTTTTTTTTTAACTCTGAAGTATGGAACTTTAACCACAATTATATATAGTGCTTTAAATTATTGCATTACTGTGTATATAATGTATATGTATGTTCTGTTCATTTGCAGTTCTGTTACAGTATTTGTGATAACTGTGTTCTGTAATGCGATGTGATTGTAGTTAGTTGGCATGGATGAAATATTCATTAGATTTACTTTGTTGAGTGTTGAGTATCGTAGAGATGAATTTTATGTACAATTTTATATGAAGAAGAGAACTACAACAATACCTCAATGATTTAAAGCAATAAAGTGATGAAATATGGTTTATATGTGTTTATATTTTACTTTAAATAATCGTTTTTTTTATCTAGATAACAGGGTTTGTATGGTCCTTAAGAGTCCTTAAATTTTTTTAAATCGATTTTTGGTCCTTAAAAGTCCTTTATTTTGGACAAAATCAGTAGAAGGTCCTTAATTTTAAATCATCTGAAATTTCTCTCTGTTTTTACGACTGCCATTTTGAGTGTGAATTAGCATTTTGGAGGAATATTTTTGGCAATTCACTGACGTATATGGTTATCTTTGGAATGGGTTTATGGGTTATAACTTGTTTCTATTTCTAATATAAATGATGGGATACTCGAGTTTCTAAGCAAGAAGTGAAACATAAGCATTTCAAAATTCATTTTTTCTGTAAAGAGCTCTTAAACAACTTTTCGCTTTTGCGGTTGTGAATTCTTTTATTAAATGGTTCTAAATTTGACAACTTGTTAACATTTTGGCGATTTTAAGATCAGTTTCTATAGAAAATTTTTAATTCCAAGACCTGAGAATTTTTCGACGATTTTTTTAAAACATCATAACATTGATAAATTTCATTAAAATAATGGTAATATATTAGAATTATATTTTAAAAATAACATTAAAATAAAACATTTTTATTTTTCGCTGTCATATTACAAAGTTTCATTTTGGCAACTTATTATACAATATTTTAAATCTGTAAAATAAACAAGGTATATAGCTATAAAGCATAATTTACAAAACAGCTCTTAGTAAAAGCAAAATTAGCTATGTAATTAATTAAAATGTCTTCTTTTTAATTTTTTCATAGTAAGCGTTTTTCCCATGTAATTGTCTCAGATTACATCATCCAACACCCATCGAGTAACCATCAACACCATCAAATAAAACTTATTCTTTGCATCTACTGAGACTTATATATAAAACAACTTATCACCTCTTGGCGCTTTAATGGCTTATTGGAACCTTAAAGTATATTAACTGGGTTATAACCCCTGGAACTCCACACAAAGCCATGACATTAACTGCATTAAGCAGAGCTTGACTAACTTTCAACACTTGCCAACCGTGCCTACATCAGGCCTTTCAGGTTTGTTCCAATCAGCAGGTCTCTCTATAGACAAGCAGCAGAGGGACAACATTCAGTCTTTTGTAATGAATCATGCTGATTATGATCTTGCTTCTCATTTTAACCTATGCCATTTGACATAAAATCTCCCTACTGTTTGCTAAACCTCTAGACTAACCAAGTATGTGACAAAATATGACATTAAAAAAAAAAAAAAAAAAAAAAGCATAAAGCTAACTATTAGTAAAACGTAAATGTCTCTTATCTTCTTTTAAATATGTCCAACTATTATAAGTGTAAAATATTTAATGCTGCTTGATAAACTGCATGCAGTTTATTTTATTCTCAAACTTATTAATAATTATGTTAGTTAATTCATGTTTAGTAATAATGCATACTACTTAGGGATCTATTTTATTCTTAGGATGGTATTACAAAAGTGAAATTCAGGCATAGAATAATATTAATTGAATTGATTTAATTCCTATTTGCTCATATGTCCTTAATTTTTTTCATTAATGGTCCTTAAAAGTCCTTAATTTCCGAGCACAGAAATGTGTACGAACCCTGGATAAGCATTTTGTTTTCAGCAGATTCATCTTACATTAAATTTCTTTCAAATGGAAAATTTAAACAATGTTGGCCCCTCTACAAAGTATTCAGACTCTAGTAGTGTGATGTCAAACACTGGGGTGTCTGGGCTCGAAGCCCTACCCCTTGTAAAACATATTTACATTTTGAATAGATGGCAAAAAATAACTAGGAAATAATATGAAGTTTTTTTTTTATTAATTTTTAAGTAAGTCCTAGACAGAATAAATAACTTGAGTTTGGTTTTAGAAAGATATAAAGTTAGATATATCACGAAGGGAGAAAGGCACAACGCAGGTGAACTGAGTTGAATAGAGCTGTGATAAAAATATGATGTGACGGTGCAAAACAAAAGGTCACTGATTCGTTTGGATATAGGCACCATACAAATTACAGCAAAGAGAACAAAATACAATACTATAAATATATAATATAATGACATACTAGAGAAGCAAATTATAGAGATATAAAATTATGTAGATGCAAAAGACATAAGTAATTACATCATCCAGGTATTTAAGATAGCCAGGGGCCTATTTATATTTAGGTCATTAAAATACAATTTGAAATTTTAATAGCAAGATTGTCAATTTGCTGTTGTCTTTCATGAAATTTCTTAGTCAGATTACAGTAATGTGTCCTTAATTGAACTACCCTTAGTTCCTCATGTGTTCAATTGTTACGAATGTACCATTCGGAATTAGTAATATGGCATAGGACACAATTTTGAGCAGTTTGCAGTACAAAGTATTGAGCTATTCTATAGAAAGTCACATACACTGAATTGCTGCCTATGTGTTTCACGGTTAGTAAAGTCCGGAAGAAAAAATTATTGCTAAGGAATGACAATTTCCAACATCTTCAAATAAACCAATCTCTGGCATTTCGATCTAAGCCAGAATAATGATGTGTAGAAGTCTAACTATCTTCACTGTAGCCCAAGGTCTCTGAGACCTATTATATAATATGTATCTAATCTCTTACCCATGTTTCTTCAGGAATTACTGGGATTTAAGAACATTTACGTATTTATTTAATTAAAATAATTAAGAACACTCTACTAAAACAAACAAAAAACTATCTATATACTTTTATTTGAAGGTAATACGTTTATTAGATAAAAATTTTTAATGAAAATAAGTGAACAGTTTAAAGTCATTAAAAGATGAATTTACATAAGAAAGTCTTCACATAAGTAAAGTACTTCATCAAATAAGACTTAAAAAAGATTCTCATTTTTATATCATGAAAGTCAAGAGTTTTGAGATACCTTGAAATTAGTTGTTTATATAATAATCACATACATTTTACAACAATATGTGATTCAGTCAAAACTTTTAACTCCAATATTATTATTATATAATTTCATAAATATTTTTAGTCCAAAGGGATTTCAGTCCCGAAGGACTATTGCTTTCGTTTTGGCATTTTGCATTGGACTCATAAACGTCGGTTCACTTTTCAAACTGTTGCCACAAAATGTTAGAGTCCTGCATTATATTTGAAGAAATTAAATAATGAAAAATCTGCATAAATGATTGCCTATTTCTCGCATTGTGATAAAACAATGGTACATAGAGCCATCGAATTTTGAATGACGAAAATCCTACACTGCGAATATGGGCATCTGAAATCCCAAATTTGGAATTTGTTTTATTATAGATTTTATATTTTGTAAAACTTTAACGAATTTTTGATTTACAAATTCAATGCTTTAAAAGCGAGAAATGGCAACGTTATATAGAAAAAAAATACTTTTATCTCCAGCTCGCGAGACTGTGTATATCGGAAATTCTAAAGATATGCTTAATTTAACATTATTTTGCGATATTGCTCTTGAACTGAATTTTATGGTTTAAGTGCAAAGAACATGATATTTAATAAATAAAGGTAACACTCAAAACGTTAAAAAAACGCCCCTTTGGACATAATTTAAAATCTGAAAAATTTCAGATTTTTTTTTATTATTTTTTTTTACTTTTTATTTTCAGCTGATAAGATTTTAACTGTGCATACATCCAACTTGTAAACTAACAAACTAAAAATTAATTTTAACTTTCTACTAACTTATTACGCAACCTCTCTGAAACATGCTCTTGTTGCAAGTTATTCATCTCAAACATAATATTTCATCTCAAATTATTAAACAACTAAATGTGATAAAATGTACTTCTGAGTTATTAAAATTCCAAAGCACCATGTAATGGCTAAAGTACTTAAATAAATAATTTTTCTTAATTTACATAATCATATAAATAAAATTATACAATATGATTATGCTAGTCAGAAGAAGTTACCTTAAAACACTAAGGTCTATGATGCTCTCTCTCTCTTTTTAAAAATTTAATTTTAGTGAATATTTTAGGTTGGAAATCTGATGAATCACATAATGGTTTTAAGAACAAGCTTTAAATACTAAAGAGTTACGATCTTGCGCTGTTGTTTATAGTGCAACATACTGTGATATATAAAAAAATTAGATATGATATTGTTAAATTTAATGAGAAAACAGTTTTTAGGAAAAGTATTTATTTTTCACCTTACAGTATAACATAGTATGTACATACTGAGAAAAACTTATGGCAAATTTATTGATTAAATAAACAAAAGGTACTCTTCTGCTATCGGGACCGAATTGAGAAATGTATGCATATGTATGTATGTGTGTGTTTCTATACACTACATACATATTTATGCACATACATACACGCATACATGAACACATGTATCCATATACAAAGTCTGTAATCTGGACCTCAAAGCTACAAACTTTATGTGAATGCGTTTACGCATGCGCGTTTAATTTATAATGGACGGTAAGCTAGGCTAAAATTATCTAAAGCATTTCAGTTAATGTTGCAGACAGTGAGATTGCACTGTTCCTTAATCTTCTAATTGGATCCGGCTTATTATTTTTTGAAGACTGTTAGAACAATTTTATAAAAATTAAGCTTGAACTTTCAATTATGTCAAAAAGAGTTTCCAATTCTGGAGCTGCCAAAGGATCTACAAAGCGATCATGTTTCGATATCCATTAAACAAAAAGTGGAATTACTGCAAAAAATGGATAAAGGCCTATCCGTCTCAAAATTATGCGAGAAGTATGGCATTGGAAAGTACACTATATGTGACATAAGAAAAAGAAACTTTTTGAATTTTTTGTGGAAGCATCTTAAACAACTTACATTGAAAGAAATGTTTAATAAAGTAAACAAATAAATATTAATCTTTTTTTTTTTTTTTTTTTTTTTTTTTTTTTTTTTTTTTGTAAATTTTGATACCCTTTAGATATTTGTTCTTTATTTCATATTTTAATTGTATCATTTCTGCATGCCATCTTACCAGATTTAAATTGATGATCTATAATCCGGAATCGCCGAAGTCTCGATGAGTCCAGATTACGGACTTTGTACTGTATATATATATATTTCTGAATCCGGATCATCACCATTTTCCATAAGTTTTGAATACCATGTTTGGTCCCATTATGATATAGCATGTAAACTTATTTACTTTTTCTACTATCTTCATTATTTTAATGCATTTCAAAGCCAAAAAAGATAATTTGGACAAATTCAGAGAACCAAATGGATATTTTGTTGTACATGGTTTTCAAACTTACAATTGGCATTAAATTTCAATCCTAATTAACCGTGGTGTACTTTTTGAAATTCAGAATAGCTTCATTGACCGAAAACAGTTTTTGTTGTGAACAGTATTGCACAGTTTCACTATATAAAACAACAACAATTATTACAGATTGGTAAGTTAAGTCTATATTTTAGAATATTAAAATTAATTTTTATTTAAGTATCTTATTTAATCCTTTTTAAGGTAAAACAAATTCATTAATTAAGGATAATGCACTCACTTTGTAGGCTTCGATTTATATAATAAGTGATGTATTCAAAATTATCCAAATAGTTAAGATTGCAACTATTCAAGAGGTTTAGAGACAAGATAGAATTTTAAGAATATTCAATGTTCTACATGATATATCACTCTAACTAGGCCAAAATAACAACTGGTCAAGTTTCACTAGAAGTGCTGTACTTTTAAACTTGGGCAACATATTTTTTTTTTTCCAATGGCAGATGGTGAACAGTTACAGTTTTGTAACAGAGTCCATTAATCTATACTAAGGCCAGATGTGGTGGTCTCTTTATTATAGAGGCACCTAATAGGTGGGCCAACATTGCCTCCTATGAAGGGACGGACAGTTACAACCATGCCTTTTCCGGGATTCGAACCCAGGCCCTTTGGTATCGCAGTCAGGCTTTCCTAACTACACCGTCTGGGCAGCAACTGGGGCAACATAATGCAAGTTGGGTTTTATTAAGCTTTTTTAATTAGTTCATCAACCAGGGAGTGAAATAAGAACTTTGCAATTTTTTTGTAATAGTCTGCTTTAAAAAAATACAGCCAGCCATTTTACGATGGTTGTAATAAAGATGAATAATGTCTCAAGTTGTGCTTCTTTTAAGAAGCGCATGCGCCCATTTCAATGAGCGCTTACCAATGATCCGAGTGCTAAAGCCACAAAACACTCTTAAGTTCACCATGGTTTCATTTCTTGGCCTTGGATTCGGTTTGCGTATAGAAACATAAAGCTGCACTTTTTGCTGTTTTAATCTACAAACAATTTTAGACTATCTTTCAATGTTTTACCGTATGCCAAAAAAGACAGCAATACAACTGATAATTTTGTAGATTCACAGTTCTGGCATGCTGTCAATAATAATATTCAATGCAGAATACAGACATGGCCAAACTATGGCTCACAAGCTGGAAGTGGCTTTTTGCACATTAAATGTGACTCGCATAATAACAATATTTTTAGTTTTGAAACACTATTTCCACATGAAGCAGAAATTATACCATGACACTTTTCTTTACAATTTCCTTTTTTTAAAAATTATATATTTATCCTCAGAATCAATCAATTATTTAGTAGGTGCCTTCTCTCCCCTTAAAGCTCTTGGAAATTTTGTCGTTATCACTTTACAAAGAGCAATTTGTATACCTATTCTTGCACTGCACCAAATCTCATAAATGTATATTTTAAAATTGAATTTATAATAAAATATTACAATTTGTTTATGAAAGACCATTGAAACTTGGAATACAACAAAGAGAACATATATGAAAATGTTACATTGCATTTTAAAACTAAAGAATTGTTATTCATTTGGTTTCTGAATTTGAGCACATTTTGAAAATTTTGGTGACTTTTACTACATAGCAGTGCCAAAAAGTGAATAACAAAAATTGTTTGATGGCAGCTGTCCTACAACGGAAAAGATCAAAACAGAAGAGTACTGGATCCTCAGAAATCTGTACAAATCTGCCAACATCAGGTATATCTTTGAGGAGCAATCTTGTTGAAATTGAAGAAGAAGAAGCTGAAAATTATGCGATGCAAAAAACTTTTTAACTTATAAGATAAAACATGCGAACAAATACAGTATTACTACTTCTTATGGAGATTTACATACCATATAAAAATGTATTATTTAAGAATGCTTTCAAGTCACTCACTGAATGTGATCTACATTATTTCTATTTAAATATTCTCCCCCACCCCACTTCCTTCTTAAATGCATGTTTATTTTCTGTCAGCTTTACTAAGAAGAAAATATGAAGATAATCACTATTTAAGATCAATAATTTACATTAAAATATATTTCCAAATGTGCAGATTGATTATTAATGAAAATCATAGTCTTAATGCTTCTGTATGCATATAAAAATTACAAAAGAATACAGGCATAAAATTCAGAAAAATAAATAATAACTTCATAAACATCAAACTGTTTTATTTCATCAATGCTAAAAAAATTAAAGCTTACTATTTATCCAATAAAACAGCTTTAAACTCGGGTTTTGGATATTTCTCTAAATATGTTTTAACAAAGCCACAACTGACTTTAACTTTCAATTTCATATCAATAGCATATTCAAGAGCTGCCTGAAATAAAAGAAAAGTAAAATTTTGAAAAAAGATTTATAAAATAAAATAAATGTTTTACATAAATACATAATTTCGCATATATGTTCTAGTTCAAAAAAGAAATTACGTCTAATTTTTCTAGGCTTTGTTAATGTAATTAAAATTATAAAAAAGGCTTTAATTAGAAACATTTGGTACATTTATATATATAAAGAAATGTGCTCTTAGTCGGCGATGGGGTGTACTTGCTGCAGAACGGGCGAAGTACGTCGGGAGACTAATTACAGAAGGATTTGAAGGAGTATTTTAATTTTTAATGTGTCATGTAATATCCTTAATTAATAATTAAAATTTCCATTTTAAAATTGCAAATGTATATTTTCTTTTCATGTGTTGATGATGTTTGCTGGCTTATGATAAATATCAGTAGTTTGAGAATCTTTTGGAACCACCAGTTGTGAAAACCACCAGCTTACACCCGATAAGTAATTTTTACCTTACCATCAGTAAAAAATCACACAAACTTGAAATAATGTGTTAAGGAACTTAATTTTTTCTAATCAAATATAAACTGTACATATTTGAATGTTGATCAGAGCATCCTGCAATGAGTATAAACTTGCCTGAGAATGTTTTACATAAACTGTCCAGAAGGGAAAGTAACTCTGGGGGGGGGAGAAGTAAAGAGAGAAAAGTAACTCTGACTACTGTATCGAAGGATCTGGATTTGATTCCCAGAAGAGGCATGAATGTAAATTGTCTGTAACTTTGTAGGAGGTAACAGTGGCCACATATTAGATGCCTCCATAACAAAATTACCACTGTTTCTGGCCATTTTAGTAATGGGAAAAGCTAGTGCCCACCATTAAAAAAAAAAAAATTTACATGATGATATTACATTGCCTGCTAAATTTCTAAATCCTTTCCAATCACAACATATTAGACAAATTTTAACACTGATTATAACCATCTTGTATACTAAACTTCCTGTGTAACTGCATTTGCAGATGATTCCACAGGATAATGTTCCAATGTTTTTGGAATTCCTTGCTAGAAGAAATATTCTCAAATATTTCTTGTAGGTGCAGCTCTAGCCAAAACTGATATGTAACAATTCTAAACCAATATTTTTTCAATATTTGCTAAATTAGTTTTAATCATGTCTTTTTCTTCTTACTGCTTTTGTCAAGTTTTAACACGACTGAGCAATTCTATTTATGCAGCGTTTTTTAGCAGGGCTGTATAGATAATGCATATTGCTTAAGAAATTTTGGTTTCGAAACTTATTATATATGCAGTTAATCACAACACTACTATTATCTCTTGAACACGCAGGGAAGACATTAAGAACTAATATCTGTAGCTTATTAGTTTTAAATTATAAATACTATTTTTCTGTTAACGAGACAACTGTGGATAAATGTGGTGGCTTGTTTATATTAATTACATCATGAATAGCTGTGCACTGTTTGAAGAGATCTTTTCATGTAAACAGCAAGCTGCTTTTACTTGGGGGGGGGGGGTTGGATGTGGACACCACATGATTTCCTTGTACAGCCTATTAAATAATACACATTTTTTCCTGCACTTCATTTAAACTTATTTTCTCGAATTAGTCTAACTTGAATAACCAATCTTTCATGGCAAGTTGAAAATGACATAAAAACTGCAAATTTTGAAATTAAATATCCCAGTCAATTTTTGCCGTACATGAGTTAAAGTTCAGGTAATTTTATTTTTGCATAACAAATATAAAACTTTCTCAAATATAAGTACAGCAAACAGGAGATTGCATTAAAAGTTAGATTTTATTTTTTGTCTTAATTTTTTTTCTAATTTGATGTTACCAAAACATGAATATCTTCATCATTTAAAACACTTCTGTAACTGTAAAGTATGCAATTATGAGCAACAATCATGAAAACCAGATAAGGACTTTTGAAGACCATAAGAATCCAGACGGCCTTTCATTAAAACGACCACAACCGCCCCAAACAGCCAAAATTTTGATTCTGTTTTCTTCCCTTCCCTAAGGTATGCTGCAGCAGGTGCAGTTTCCCCAAACGCATTCCATCAGTTTATTGCAGACAACTCGCCCTAAAGGGATTTATCTTTATTTGTTAGAAGTATAAAGAATGTCATTTGAAATCTTCACTCTTCTTTGTGTTAATGGATGGGGAGGAGAAGAAATTGCTGCAATTCTCAAAAACCATTATGGGCGGCTTGGTATTCTAACATACAGGTTAGCGAAGGGTTCTGTTTTCAAAGAGTTAAGCCAGGTAAGAGGTTGGGTGTATATATATTCACACACACACATTTAGTATTGCTGATTGCGATAAAAAAAGCAAGGTTCCCAACTAGATGCTATAGCAATCCCATATACAAATTTTTAACATTCTATGATTAATTGTTTTTGAGTTATGTGAGAAACATAAATATGTACGTACAGACATAAAAAAAAAAAAAAACTTTTTCAATCCATTTTATTCTGTGTGTATGTACAGATGTCACTCAAAAAAAAAAAAAAAAAAAAAAAAAAATCATTCGAACACTTCCATTGAAATATGATACCCAATACTCTTTGCGATTGCAATACTTCTAAAACCATCAATCAGATAAATGATACCAATATTCTTGAAAGGATTTCACATATTATTATAACATGCATGTATATTCCCTTTAAATTATCCAAAAGCACGAAAAAAGAAAACTATTACATAGAGCAATTTCACTATTTTTTATACATATACCTCTGCAAGCAGTTTTCCTATTCCTTGGCCTTGTAAACTTTCTGGTACAATAGTGTGCTCCAGTTCTATGATAGATGGTGAAATTTCCTTGTATTGTAAAACTGCTTTGTCTAAACATATGTATTTCAAGCAAAGCATTAGTCTTAACTTTAAGTTAAAATTACACATATAAAGAACAAAAATTCATAATACATGTAAATAACATTAATTATAAATACAATAAACATGTAAAATAACCGCATTCATCACTAATACAAATTTTTTTTCTTTTTTTCTTTTCTTTTTCTTTTTTTTTTTTTTTTGTCTAAAAAAGCGATAACCATGGCAACAATCATCTGCATTTTTTCTTCTAATTTTTCAGTACATTAATTTTGCTAACTACTTTTTTTTAAACTTTAATATCTATGCATTTATTAATTACGGTAAGTTAGTATAACTTGCACATTTGGCTGTAGACACAGCCAGAATTTATAGCTACAGATAAGGGCTACAAAAATATCACTGGCAGTGTTTCATTTCTGCTAATTATTGTGAAGAAAATGCAACCCAGATAAGTATTACATTATACTTATCTGGTATAAGTATTACATTATACTAACCTCTAAGTATTACATTATTTTTTAAAATCACATGAATCAAATATGTGCATCTAAAAGCAATTTTGTTGCTGAATACGACTAATTCAAGATTTTTTAAACACGCATTACTTTTCTAACTTTTAACTGCAAAATAAATACTATTTGCAATAAACAGATTTGAATTTTGTAAAATATAATTTTAAAGTATGACAGGTCAAAAACAATTTAAGATGGTTTGATTATATAACTAATTCAGTGAAAATATATAAAAATGTATTTTTACTTGGATATTTTATTAGTTCCACACATTATTATTGGTATTAGTTTCTGTATTTCGGAAACGTTATTTTGCACATATCATCTGGCAACACTCATACATCTCATCCATCAGCAACTTGTGAAATAAAGAAGTTGAGTTCCAGCAGGCACTTTACAAACCACACAGCCAGATGCAGGAACCTTACAAATTAGATCAAATATAATGCATACTCTTATTATACAAAAAAGAGAGATTATTAAAAAGGAGAAAGAGAGAAGAATGTTAATTACCTTTACTGCTACCCAGGGAAAATTCTTTTAGCTTCTGATTGTGTATAACTTGGATCTCAGTTGAAGAAAACATACGTGACAGACTAGATGAATATGATCTAACCAACTTCAACATCTTTTCTGTTTCACAAAAAACTTGACTTACACAAGAGATGGTAATTATAATACCATATATTTGAAGAATATCTATAACAGAAACAATTTTGGTATTAGTGCTTAAAGCAAGATTAAATTGGATTATTTGACTATGGCTCTTAACTAGGAAAAGCTCATTAGGTCTGCCTATAGAGAAAATGCTTCAAGAACACTTTTTAAAGACTATTTTTATTTGTTTTATATTTTCATTTATGTTTGTATTTTTATTTATGGTTTATATTTATATTTTAAGGAAAATGTAAAAACCACAGATACACAGTCAGCATGTTCAATCAGCAGAGAACGAATTAATTAAGCTTGTCATGAATTTCTACAAAAACATTTATGAAAAGCAAAACAAACTTATGCAGAGGAATTTGTTGAAAATGATGTTGATGTTAATATTGGAAAAGAATTGTCTCTCAAGAAAACATTATAATTAGCTACAAATAAAATAATTGCCACAAACAATAATACAAATGTAATATGAAAAATAGATTTTTTCCAAAACCATTAAACGGGAGAGCAAGTTGTTAAGACTCCGAGGCAAATATTTAGAAATATACTGCTTATTATTATAGTACGACCGTCTGAAGAGCAACCCTGGTTGGCATTCTGCCAAAACACATAGACTCGTCCAAAAGGGACTGTATTACTTGCTGCGATGTGAAAGGTCTTCTCTTCTCTGGAAAGAGGGAGCTGTGCTGGAGGAAAAGAAAGTCCCCATCCTTTCACCCTATTTTGAGAATAATTCGGTCCGAATGGCGCATGCATGTTTGCGCTTATGGTCGCAGATGAGGCGGTCGAACTATAACAGTACCATAAAGCAGTATGGATGCAGAAAGAGCATTTTCAACTGCAGGTAATTTGTGCACAAATATAAATTTCAAGCTTAAAGGCAGTTCAATACATGAATTATGCTTTTTTCTATTAATAGATATTATACAAAAGACTAAAGAAAAAAAAATTTTATGTGATATTCACTCTTCTTAATAATAACAATATACATTTTGTTCTTTTATGGTATAGTAATACAGTAATGGTTTGTTTTTTATATTATATTTTTTGTTTCTAATGTTATAAACTATTATTTTACTGTTCTTGATTATAACTTTTGGTCCTTTTATATTTTTACATATAAAAATTGCTTATATTTTTTATACTTTATATATTTTTTGTATAAAACTAATAAATATGACAAAGAAACAACTATTTTTATGTAACTGTCTTGACAAACTCCTAATACTGGTACTCCTGTGAAATATTAAAAAAAATATGAAATACCGGTAATGTATTTTTGGTTTGACATTGCAATCACTAGTAAGAAGTCTAAGATTAAATGGCCCTTTTGTTTATTCCCGATGCACATTATGTTGACAGTTAGTAAGAAACTTGAAAATTAGGGGAACATTTCTTTTTCTGTGGGTGAAACAGATGAATAATAATTTATGTCTATTAACTTTTATTTCAGAACAAACAAATAAATGAATAAAATGAAACAAATAAAGTAGAACACAGTAAAAAAATGTTCTGTAAATGAAAACTTATTTTTCCTATTTGAATAATTAAGCATATAAACTTACTCAAGAAATTTTGAATTATAATAGAAAATACACTCAAATGACTGAAAAATCTTATACCACTTTTAAAACTCATTTGCGTAACAAAAGTGGCTACTGAAACGCAGCTAGCATGATCAATACAGGCAATTAAAGTATTCATATTTTTGTAAATTCAATAATAAATTAAGATTAATAAAACATATTTCATACATTGCATTATTATTTCTGATACTTGTTAATACTATTATTGTGCATACTAATAATACTATACTATTATTAGTAATGAATACTACACGATTATTGAGTATTACTATTGTGTAACAAAAAAAATTACAGCATAACTTAGAAGATAAGTTATGAGACTCATTTATTATATTAATCATTTATGTCTATCACCGACTATCAAAAACGATATGTGTACTTTTAAAAGCGTTTTTAATTACGGCGAATTTATCATATAGTATGTTTGAAAGGAAAAGAAAAAAAAAAAAAAGATTTATAATCCGAAATTCAAATCTGAAGTTCTAGTTATATATTTAATAAAGTGTAAAAATATAAGATCATGAATGTAATATTTCATATTCTTACTTACAACACTTAACCCACTCTCAAAACATACTTTCGAAATAAATGCGTTTACTTTCTCTCTTGCTATTGCATAATACTCATAGAAGAAGTAGTAGTACATATCTCGGCGGCACAAGAAGTGGGGAAAAAATTATTTACGTAGCTTCTGTTTACATTTAGATACCACAAGGAAATTTGTTTGGCTTAATATTATTCTTAATTTATGCGAATGACATACGACACAAACATACAACACTAACCATATATGCAGATGATACAGTGATCATGACTCAAAATGCATATCTTGGATTTAGTCATTCAGGCACTACAACAACAAACACATCCAAAAATGAAAAATAGCTTAATGTAAACAAGTTTGAAACTGTGCTCTTCACCAAGAAAAGAAATCAGGATTTAAATATGACGGTTTACTATTCTATATATAACTGGTATTAAAGGATAATGACAGAAACAAGAACGTAACTGATACTTAATGAAAAATTATTAACAGAAATATGTACAAAAGCATTAGTTAACATAAATTACAATGTTTGGCAGTTGATTATTTTCAAAATATTGAAATTAAAATCAAATTCATAGATCGTTTTTGGTAATTTTAAATTTTAAGTATAAATTTATTTTTATTTCTTGTAAATACAATAAATTTTAAAGCATTAAATAACAGTTTTTAAAAGTCTACAGTTTCAATTATTTGGGAGCAGATATAAATTGTAAAAATGAGATAACTTCTGAAATACTTAAAAGAATCTCTGCTACTATTAAATGCTTTCATGGTCTGAAGAGCTGTTTAAATCCAGCTTCCTCAAGTTAAGAACTAAATTACTTCTTTACAAGAGTCTTATAAAGCCAGTCCTGATTTATGCGTGGGAAGCTTGGGAGCTGACTTTACGTGATGAGGAAGCTTTGAGGATTTTTAAGATAAGGATTTTGCTATGCATACTTAATGGAGTCGTGTGAATGGACCATAGAGAAGAAGATCTAATTTAGAACTGTACAAGATTTATAGGCAACCTGATGTATTAAAGTTCTTCAAACTACAGAGACTTAAAGGACTGGTTATCTGGCCAGAATCCATGAAGATTGATGTTATAAGAAAAGTATGTTATAAGTTTGTAGAGTCATTAGGATTTTTTGAAGCAGGAAACGGGAAAAATTAGCAATATCCTGGCCGGAACTCGAGCCTGAACCTCTCGAATACGCGCCTAGAGTGCTACCGATACACAACGAAGGCATGTAGAAAGGAGGGGGAAAATACCTTATATACTCCTCCTTTTAAAGGGCGACAGGATTAGGGAACCCAGTGCACCATCATCCATCATCTTTTGTAGTTCGGGTGCCACTGTAGTGTCATTAGGATTTTTTGAAGCAGGAAACATGAAAAATGAGTAATGCCTTCGTCGGGACGGGAACCTGGGCCTCTCGAGTAAGCCCAGAATATGCTACCATTACTCCATGAAGTCATGCAGAAGGGAGGAAGAAAATACTTTGTAACCTTTCTAGCAAAATTCATGGAAACCATATCTCGGGGAAGACCTCCGGTGAGATAGACTGATAACGTTGGAAATGACCTAAGCATTCTAAAAGCCCAAAACTGGAAGCCAGTTGCCAGAAGCAGAGATGCCTAGAGAAGACTTATGGAGGCCCAGGGCCCACTCTGGGTTGTTGAGCCGATGAGGAAGAATAGTTTACAATTTTCTTAATAGCATAGTCTAGCAAGAGTAATTATAATTTTTAATATTTCAAGTGCTTGCACAAAATACTATCAATTTAAAAGGATTTCAGCATAAAAGGACAGGTTCTATCCTATAGTTTTTGTTTAGTTCTGTCCTTTAAGTCATGTTATATGCGCAGCCTATTGAGCCTAAAGAATATAGGCTGTACCGTCTTTCGTGGGATTATTGCATTATTTGGTATGATTTTTGAATTTATGCTGTGTTACGTGCACTGATATAATAAATTCAATTTATAGTAACTATTTCTATTTTATGTTTATGGATTAGTTTTTGGCTTTTTATTTTATAGAGCATTTTAAAATAAGATAACTACTAACTAACCATACTCACAATGACTGCAACTTCTTCCCCACAGAGACAGGTTAGTAAACGGTGGTGTACTAAAACGTTTAGAAATGAATGCTTAATTAAAGAATTGGTTGAAAGAAGACAGTAAGGTGTGTCTTATTGTATTTGTTATGAAATAAAATTAAAGAATGGAAATAAGTCGATGTTACTAACTTACAAAAATACAGTTATGCAAATATTACTAAGACAAGCTCAATATTAGACATATTTTGCACAAAAAGTAAACCTACAATGAAAGAAGAAATACTAAAGACAGAGTTGATTGCTGCACTGATCTCTGAGCATAACATTCCATTTGCGCAATGCGATCATCTTATAGAAGCATATAAAACACATTTCATTGTAGAAGTATTGCAAAACAAACTCAGATGAAGACCACTAAAGTGTCTTATCTTATTAAATTACCTTATTATCATCTTATGCATCTTAGCCAATCATAAAAAAGTATGCATTTCTAACATATGCAGTAATAATTTTTCACTTGTAATTTCCTAGCTAAAATAGAGTTCTTTGAATGCTTGAACACTGAAGACCTATGCAGCGACTATTCGCTGAGTTTTTGTGCCTAAGTAACAGCTCTGGAGAAGAGTTAAACTACATTTTTATTCCAACTCAAAATAGATTTACAGATGGCCCGGCCCCTCTTGGGCGTACAAGAAGCCTCTACTTGGGCTTTAATTTAAAATAGAAAATACAGAACTAAACTAATGCTAGATACATTTAATCAGCCGAAGCTGCACAGAATCAAACTCGCACAGTTGGCCCTTAACTTAAGAATTGCCGGCGTATACTAACAGGCACGTATTAAGTACGGCCGTAGAATAGAAAGCTTTAACTAATAACAACGCGGCCGAAAGGCAGAACACGTTGTCCTACTGAAATCCCGTTCCGTTTGTCCTCTTAATGAAGTAACTCAGACCTCAGCTTAAATACTCGTTTCCTACCTTTCTAACTTATTTGCATAAAGCGTAATACTGAAAACTCATCCCGGTAGGGAAACACAGGTAGAAAATTAGAAAGTAAAGGGAAGGCTTTTTTTCAAAATAAAAATAACTATTAGAAAAATAAAGTAAAACCCTACACATTGATAACATGTGAAAGTACTCATATAGCTGTATTACAATCTGGCTGTTGTTGTCAAGTATTTTCATATTCAAAAGCTTGATTTTATAGATGTGTTATTTGACCCTGTTTGTGTCTAAAATGGTACTTCAGAAGAGCTTTATCAAGCTGTAAAAGTATCTTTGTGCCTTCCATTCAGTCAAGGTACTACTATCATTCTAGAAATATTTATAAAAGATAAGTCACATTATTTTCCCCTTAATAGTAAAGGATTGAACAAGTTCAAGATTATTTAAGGTGTTCTCTTAATTAGCATAAACATGTTGGCTATTCCGTGGCAATGTAATAAAAATTGGATGTGTTAGTTCTTTACTTTCAGTCTGAATCAAAAATGGACAAAATGGAGGATGGAAGAAATATTTCCTATATTGTGAACACCAAAGGAACTAAACAGAGGTTGGTATTGTTAGAATTACGTGCTGGAAAAGATAAGCTGCATGAATAGTAAATTTCAGTCTAAAGATTTCAGATTGGCTTTCATCATATGGTTCCAACTGAATATGAAAATTCTTAGTTTTTCCATAAAAGATTTCGTGCTTTATTCAGAGGTTTTATGAATTATTCCGTTGTTTGGATCAATTTGGTTCGAACTGATCCAAGCAATGCAATAATTCTTAAACTTCTGAGTAAGATACATCTGTGAGGCCGTCTTGTGGCCTTACCAGAGTCGTAGCTAGGGTTTACAGCGCCCAGGGACAACTGAAAATTTCGCGCCCCCTACTGCTTGCCAAGGATGGAAAACATTTAATTCTAAAATGTCGTAACATCAGTTTGGCGCCCCTTGGATTCTGCGCCCGGGGACAGATCTCCCCTTACCCCTGGGCCTTACTAAATTCAATACCAGTTGCTTATAGCGAAAGCATGTTTAAAAACGATTATTTAAATTATTAAATTCCTTGATGACCTTTGTATGAGAATCAAAAAAAGATTTCTTCTAAATGAGGATGGAATTATCGCCATTCTCAATACAGTAAGACCCCGCTTAACGCTGCTTCGTTTAGCGCTGTTTCGGTTTAGCGCTCTTTTATTTCAACCCGGGGATTCCACGAAATCGCTCGCAGCATACGGGGATTCCCCGAAATATTATGCAGCGATAGGTTTCAAATACATATCCTAAAGAGTGTACTTGTATTTCTTGTTTGGTGCGGTATTGTACAGACATATTTTGAAGGGGTAAATGTGGAAGATGTCGAAGAAATAATTCAAGAAGCAGCGGCTAGTCTTTCTAATGATGAGCTCAAGGAATTAACTGAACAAGAAGAAAACAAAAATGTTGACAGCAGTGATTCAGAAGAAGAGCAAAAAGAGCTTTCGATGGCGTTTGTATAAAGGAGTTTTGTCTACCATAACTGAAATAATGGATCAATTCATTGAAATGATCCGAATTTTGACAGGAGCTCAAAAGTAAGGCGTGGTGTTAGAGATGCTCTATCCGTTTATGAAGAACTTTTAAGAGAACAACGCAAAAGAAAAAGGCAAACAACATTAGATGCTTTTGTCACAAAAAGGCAGAACACTGAAAACGCGGAAGGCTAACTAAATATGACTGAGAATTTTATTTGTTTTTTTTAAGAATATTCGTTTTGTTATTTATATTTTGTTTTTATTTTTGCAAGAAATAATAATGTGGTATTAATTTGGGCTTTAAGAAATAAATGTTTGGTTTTATTTTTATTAAAAAGCATATTTTTTAAATTTAATACCTAACCAATTTCCTAGCCATCTTCCCCTAACCCCAATATTTACATGTAAAGATAGCCTCGTTTAGCGCTGTTTCGCATTACGCTCTACTTTGATGGAACGTATCCCCCGCGTTAAGCGGGGTCTTACTGTATTCTTGAGCCCGTAGTGGTACAT